ATGAAATAGGATGGATAGAAGAGGTTTGGAGTAAAAACAACAAACAAATAAAAAAACATTAAATGCCATCAACTTTATGAGTTTATCTCACTTTCACAGGTCTGCTGATTCCCACACTGATCAAGAGCTAAGGGAAGGAGGAAGCAGATAGCATCTCTGCCTGGATCATTAAGACCAGTGCTGCACCAAAAGGGATTAGAAAGAAAGCCGGACCACTGGCTGGGTTTAGGGGCAATTCTGATGTGAGATCATCGGCTCTTCCCATTTTCACAGCACTTGACATTTTCGCCGAAAGCTTCTATGTCCATTCCCGTCCATTTGAACCGGATTCTTAATCTCTCTCAGAAACAAGCAGTCTCTTAATGCGAGCCTCTCACAGTCTCTTGGGAGAAACCATATTTCAACTGCCATATGAACACAATGTCCTTCTTTCTTTGCCATTCCTTCTTTTTTAAATTCAACCCTTCCAGCCTACAGACTGTCCCTACTCCCTCACTGTTTTTTTTTTTTATTTTTTGTCTCCCTCCTCATTTCTTCAGCTCTTTATAAAGTTGTCACCTTTCTTTAGTTGCTTCTGGGCTTGCCTTTATTGTCCCCATCTTTGCTTCTTCCACAGCTCTCTTTGTGAGTCTGACCTCTTTTCTCCACTCATTTCCCTCACTCTCATTCTTTTGTCCCACTGTACGGGGCTTACACTATGCTTACTACTCACACATTGTACACAACCTTGTCCTGGCAGGGATTTATATATTCTTTAGGGACAGACTGCAGCCTACATACAGCAGCTTGAAAGTTGGAGCCTCCTATTCGTGGCCTTTGCCTAAGATATCCCATGAGTAGTGAACCTGGCATTCTCCCATGATGTCTGGCTTCTGACTGTGCACAGTAGGGGTAGAAACACATGCTGCCCCCAACACATGATAATGCAGGATATGAGAACAGTGCATATTCTCTTCTTTTCAGGACTTGAAATAAAAGAGATCAGTGGTCTGAGAGTTAGGAATCTAAATTTCAGTTCCAGAGAAGTCTAAAATGGTGGTAAATACCAACATACAAATATCCATCTGTCTATGCATCGAAAGGTTAGGCCTCAACAAGTCTGGCTTTATGCACTCCTTTGATTCAGAATTAACTTAAAAGTATTTTGCAAAGCAATCCAGGTTCTTCTTTTGGGGGTTTATCCAGGGAGGTGCCAGGTGTGCTCATATCCAGAGGAGCAGCAAGGAGAACAAGGCAGAGCTGTGCTGTCACGTGGACACACTGTAGCCAGAACAGATATGGATATCTCAGGCTAGGCAGTTGTCAGAAAAGGAAGCATATGGCAGGACGGCTGGTGGAAGTGCCTGCTGGATACTCTCTAAGCTGGACCAGAGATTACTTGGAAGAAGAATGGGAGGAAGGAGGAGGAGGTGAGAAATGACAACTGCCTTTGATGGGGGAAAAAAAAAACTTGACAGCTTCTGGATCCAACTGGACACAGTAGCCCCTGCCTCTCTTCTCTTCAGGACTTAGCAACTTTGTACCCATTTAGGTATTTTGTTTGAATTAACTTAATCTTCATAAAATAGAATAAAAACTAACACATTTGATGATTTCTCATGGGTCAGGCACTCCAGTAGTTACCATGAGAAATCAACCAGCATCCAACAGGTGAGGGGCTTATCACTGTAACTGGCACCTGATAAAGTGCCCCCATTAATCACAAGGCAGAAGAATTATGCTTGTTATGGGGCTGAGATATGCATCCAAGTGTACCTGGGGTCCATTTCCTGATCTCTTCCCAAGCATCTATATATCTGGGACTTTCCAGACCCTTTCTTAGACAGGAAAATGTCCTTATAGCTGTCTCTGAAGATGCACTGTTCTTTGTTACCCTTTCAAACTCCAGTTTCCAAGCCCTGTCCTCACCAATATTCTTTATTTTTCCTTCTAATTCCCCTTAAAAGGCTTCATGCGACTACTCTGAGGAAAATACAGGATTTTCTTTGAATGCTGCTTTATGAATTAAAATTTGCTTTTATTCTTCAATTGTGCATGTCATCTCTTATGCTTGTAATTTTCTTCCTCAAAGGGAAGGGGTAATTTATTTGTTTTTTCCCCTATTGGATTATAACCAGCATTATTCTATCCATCATGATACTCAAGACACTTTGTAAACTGCTAAAATTATGGAAAGATAGTTTTATACAATCTCAGCTTTAAGTAATAGTTCATATAGAGAGTTCTTTAATTTCTTCTACAGACTCTCCAATGAAATTGCATTGAGCTTTGGTTTGAACACCTGAGCAGTGAAAAGAACTGAGAATTAGAGGCTAAGAATATTAAAACTTACACTGAGGCTGCCAATCATTTGTTTTACTCTTGAATTCTCTTTCATTTCTTCCCTTCCTTTGCAACTATTCACTGGACCTCACAATTTTCTTTTTAAATCCCTTTTCTCTCTGATATAATTTCTATCATCTTTAGTTGAAGCCTGCAACACATTCAATCATATAGCTTCCACAACAGACACCTGATTGACACCCCTATTTTCACACTCTTCCACATAGCCTACTTTGCACACACCCTCCAGTGGGGTTGAAAATGCAATTTATTCATTGCATACTCCCCTCCTTGCATGATTTAAGAGTTCCCCCATGCTTGTTAGAAAATAGACTTGGTCTGACACACCCTCAGGCTCGCCTCAGATTCATCTAAGAATTTAGTTATTCCTAAATCTTCCTCCTCAACAACACTCTCATTTCCCGATACTCGGAAACTTGTTCCCTTCTTAGAATAATTATCTTCTATTGAAGCCATTTCCAGTGCTAAGTTCTACTTATCTTCCAAGTATTAGTTAAGTGATACTTGATATCAGCAGTCAACTCTAATCCATACTATTGTTACTAACCCAACAAAGGCACACTTAAAACACTATTCAAACCTTAGTAAATTCCATTTACTAAGGATTAATTGTTAATTGTTTAAACACACAAGGTCCCTGTGTCAATTATATCTAAGTGCCAAGGCATCTGATATCATGGAGTCTCATTTTTTATTATATCCTTAATAAGAAGTTTGGCACCTCTGGTGGTTTGAATAGGAATGGCCCCCATAAGCTCAAAGATTTCAATGCTTGGTACTATTAGGGGATGTGACCTTGTTGGAGTAGGTGTGGCCTTGTTGGAGGGAATATGTCACTGAGAGTGGACTTTTAGTTTCAAGTGTTCATGCCAGGCCCATTCTCTCTCTCTCTCTCTCTCTCTCTCTCTCTCTCTTTCTCTCTCTCTCTCTCCTTGCACCCTGGCGATCCAAATGTGGCTCCTTTTCCAGCACAATGTTTTTGTGAGCACCACCATAAATCCTGCCATGATAATAATGTAATAAACCTCTAAGAGTGTAAGACATCCCCAATTAAATGTTTCTCCTTCATAAGAGATGCTTTGATCATGGTGTCTCTTCACTGCAATAGAACTTTGACTAAGACAGTACCTGAGAAAAGCAGCTATCCAGAGACCATGCTGTGACCACAAAGATAAATACTTCCATTTCCATTCTCATTCTCTAAAATGGGAGGTGAGGAGGTGTATTGAATTAAAAGACAAGAGCAAAGATTTGGAGTCACACTTACACCTGATTCTGAACCCTACCTGCCAGTGACTCTAGTTACTCAGTTTTCTGGTACTAACTCTTGAATAATAAAAGGGAATGTGAGGCCACTCAAAAATGTTCTAATTCACCAAAGTGGCAGTGTCTGCGATCTCTATTTTTCTAGAAAGGAGGTTTATTTGAAGTTATTTTAAATTTCTGTTTCCCATTTGTGGAAAGGAAATAGCAGGGCTATACACATTAATAGATGATGGAGTGCTGAAATACTTGAGGCATATGCTGAATTAATGTTAATGACAATATCATTGCTATTAACAGTAAGAGTGGAGAAAAGATTGGCAAAATGATAGTGAGAAGTAATGGTATTTGTGATATCAAAAACAGTGGAGATGAGTGTTAACATAGGCTAATTCTTAATGAAAAATGGCCACATTGACATTCCCACTATAATGGTTGCTTCTAATAATAAGATGATGGATGTGATGATGATATATTGCTGCTGATTCTTATGGTCTCTACAGTGATAAGGGGGGCTCTGCTTTGTAATAATAGCTTACTCCTATTTTCATGGGTATTTATCTAAAATTATGGGCCCTTTTGCTGTTTTAAGAAAATCTACTTTTCCACATGGATCAAGTCTTCTCACTCTATCTTCATAGAGGCCTTTAGGAAAGTGTAAATAAATCCCATCCAAGTCCATCCTTTCTGAATGACCTTGGTTTCTTCAGCTGTCCAAGGAAACTCTTCGCATAAATCCCAAATGCTGAGTCTTTGTAAAACCGAGCCAAACCAAGCCATTGTTCTCTTCTTTCTCATTGAATGAGTGTTTCTTTTAATTACCCATGTACTACTGAATCACTGACAAGGAAAAAGTCTTTATCACGTTACTAGTTAACAAACAATTTCTAAGTAGCTCTACTGAGATTTGAGGAGCATGTATATGCACATGTAGATAGACAAATAGAGAGGGAGAAAGTGGACAGTGAGGGAGACAGGTACTTTAGGAGCATTCTGGAAAATGTTAATACAGAATGTTTCTAGGTGATAAGATTTTTATTCTATAATTCACTAAATGTCTATATTTTTGAAATTTCACAATAACATCTATAGGATACTTAGGTTTCAATAGACTGAAGGATTAATTAAATTTTTAAAAATTCTATTAAGTGTACTAAGAGGATGATTTAAGATTGTAATTAAAATATGTTAGAGAAATAAAAGAACAGAAGGGTAGAAGAAGTTTTAGGTCAGTGTAAAGGTATCTGACAGAATACATTCTGATGACTTCTAATTTTCCTTGAATGGTATTAGTCAACATGACAGGTTTCTGTTCCATGTCATCCATACTTTCTTCCGCAGCCCAGACTCTGTGCCAGGGACTATATATGTGCAAGCAAGCACCTATCCCATACCTGAAGGTCATTTGGAAGACTTGGCCTTGATTTACATGCTGGGTCCTGTTGTTGTAACCATGTAGCATCTCTCCAAAGAGGGTGTCATTGAATTTGGAGTCAGGTTTGAGGCACTTAGGTCCCTCGCAGACATCCGAGAGCATTAGACAGGATTTGCCATCAGGAGCCAGCTTGTACTCTTCCACACATCTGCATGACAAAACAGCCAAGAGTTAACTCTACATGCTCGCTATCCCTATGGATGTGACCTAAAACCAAGGCCTCCTTTGCCTAAAAAATGGTCAGAGTATAAGCATGGAGAGAGCTATTTTGGTTGAAATCTATCTAGGGCACAGGTGTCTGGAGAGAAGCACATTAATCCTGAAAATGGATAAAATCAGAGAATGTCATTTGTGACATTTTAAAGGAGTCAAGGGGGACACTGGCATGCACATCCATACATAAAGTAGATGTAAAAGCAGTTTTCTATGAACACAGAGTTTAAAAGCACAACAACCAATTCACAGGGAATTATCAACTAGTTTCTCAAATAAGAATCTATTCCCTGTGTATCTGTCAACCAAGGTTGAATACAGTAGAAAAAAAAAATTCAAGTTTGTTTTGCCCTTGTAACAAAAATAACCCATCAGGATCATGGACAGTACACATAGTTACAAAAACAACCTCTGTTCCATTATCACTGTTAGTAGTCTCCCCTGGTCTCTCGGTGTCTGACAGCCAGATGAGCCCTTGACATGTCTTTGAAGCAGGGGTGGGCTCCTGTGTGTTCCAAACAGACATCTGAATGGAAAGTAGGAATAAGGTTTCCCATTTAAAGATGTATGCAGTGGAAAGTGGTTTTCTTATACAACAATGGAGTAGTAGGGTGGAGGATAGAAGATAGAGAGAGGGGAATGGAGGTCGCTATACCTGAAAATTAACATAGAAACTAGCAATATTTGAATATACACAATTTCTTGGTTCTTTTGTAATTGTGTACACAGAAAACCTGTGCATAAATTAACAATCAGGCAAAGAGAATAAGCTACATAATTGGAGAAACCTGGACAAATGTATTATTTGCTGTTGGGGCCTGTGAACATGAGAAAGTCACTTAACTTCTTTGGTCCCCAGGGAGGCACTCTCATCTGACCATAATTCACTAGTGTACCATGGAATCACATGATATGTTGACTACAAAAATGAGACTTTAATGAAACTGTCAAATTCATTACAGTAGTAGCAATCATGTGGTATTTCTATATATTAAGTCTGTCCTATCCACTAAGAAATACATATGTTAATTTTAACACAATGAGTAAAATTAATATTATCCCACCTGTTGAACACATTAGCAAAAGAAGGATTCAAAGATGAAACATATTATAGAAGGGTATATAAAGGGTCAAAGCTGGTGTTCAAGTTATCATTTTTTTTCTAAACAGGGTTTCCCAGTGGTTTTGGATGCTGTCCTGGAACTAGCTCTTGTAGACCAGGCTGGTCTCGAGCTCACAGAGATCCTCCTGCCTCTGCCTCCTGAGTGCTGGGATTAAAGGCTAGTGCCACCACTGCATGTTTTGCAAACCCAGTGTTCCCCTAATCTAGTATTTTCTATGTACACTGAGCCTGGTTAGAGTGTTACATATGAAGCATCATGCAGCATACACTCCTTTATGGTTCCTCCCAAAGACAGTAGAGATTACTTAAATTTGACTGTAAGATGACTCAGGAATTCACAGTACAAGTTAGTCTCTGGGGAGTTGTTTGGATGGAAAATGCAGCCATGGTACTGAACTTGTAGCTGATGGATGCCGGAAAATGTAGCTATGTTTCTGGAAGGTAGTTGAAGGCAGAAAGTACACAAGTTGCATTGACAACTTGGCTCAAGATCACTCTAGTGAAAAGCCAGGATATTCTAATGCATAAAGTCGGCTGTCACTCTTTCATGATTTCCCTCTGGTTGTCCAGTGTATTGTGTTGATGCTTTGGTGACCTGTCTAAATGTCACAATTTCTTCTCCAAAGTTCAGCAGGGAGCTCTCAGAAAGAGGCCTCATCCAGGATTCTTGCTGAAGTCAATTCCCCACCTGCCATCTTTTTCATATCTATTAGATACAAGTAAATCCTGCTCAACAGTTTCAGCACTAGTGAACTGACTGGCTACCAGAGTGCAGAACATATAGCAAGTGCTCCATAAAGTCTAATTGCACCCATTATCCCTGAAGGCTCACAGTCAATATGAAGAAATGGTTTACTTAGTAAACTGGGTAGGATTTATTCTCTGTAACTTTCTTTACCCATTCATATACACATACACCTGTGCAGCTGTGATTAAATATATGATTGTAGTAAATGTGTAAACAGAATCAAAATATATAAAGTAAAATGTGGAACTTTTTTCTACTCATTATTTCCTGAACTACTGTCATCACTATTATCTCTTATATATCCTGTTAAAATGTTTCCAACTCATTTAAATACATATTTACATATGAATATCATATATAATATACATAGATATGCAAACACAAACATATGGTTGGTTATATATATGTAAAATTCACAAAATATTTTCATAAGATATGCATTTGTAGCTAATATTGTTAAAGATTTTTTTCAAGCCAGTGATTTATGGATCTGTCTTTAAAATGGTTATTTGGCACTGCACAGTACAAATGTACTATAATGCTTTTAACTAATTTTTATTGATGGGCACTTTGGCCATTTGTAGCTATTTGTTATTGCAAATACTGCCAGAATGAAGATATTTATAGATATATCACTGTGCACATGTGTGTATTCTGTAAGACAGAGTCTTAGAAGAGGGATTGCTGGGTCAATGGTTTATGAATTTTAATATTTTGATAGATATACTAAATGGCCATTTGTAGAGGCTCTACCAGTTTACAGAACCATCATTGATAAATGAGGGACTTGATTTTTCAGCATCATCCATGTTCATTATTTTCATTCTGCGATGGGAAAGATAACTAACTCATTCCTCTTTGGATTTGCATTTCCCTGATGCTGCAGCCTTTTCTATTTTGATATTTGTGCTTTGACTATTTTCCTGTTGTATCTGTCCCTTCCTCATTGGTTTGTACATGCAGTGTATGTTTTCTGGATGGTAACTCTGTACTGTTGATATATTTTCAAACTTTCTTCTACTCTAGTCTTATGTTTTAATCTTGAATTTGATGTCACAGAACCTTTGTGAACTGAGTATTTTGCAATGTTTAGAAAGCCACAGGATAATGCAATTGTCTTTTTGTATATTAAGTTAGTATTTTTAACATTTTACCATTTTTCACTACCTCACATTCATGGATTTTATTTTGTGAGTGGTAGGGCAATTATTTCACTTTCTTTTTTATATTTTGAGAATTCCAAGCATATATATGATGTGTTTATTTCTAATCTACCCCTTTAGAATTAGTTCTTTGAAATCAACAACTTTAAAAATGGCTAGACAATCACCAGAAGGGTTCATCCATTCACCAGTTGAGTTGAAATGTCATCTTTATTATATAGTATGTATGAATGTAAAGAAGGCGTTCACAGTTGAGTTTGTTTTATATTTAATATCTCTATATTACTAAAATGGGTGTTCATGAGCCATCCAACATGAACGCTTTGAATCAAACTCATATCCTCTTAGACATCTCTCCAGCCACGGATGGAAATTGCTTATTCCGTGTCAGCGAAAGCATCTTGCACCCTCTACACTGTGTTCTCTTCTTGGTCATGCTCCATAGCGTCACACACACACACACACACACACACACGCACGCACGCACGCACGCATATGCTTCCCTTGTAATTGAGTGGAGGACCCATGCCATTGTAGTCTGTACAGTGGTATCTGCATGGAACAGAGAGTCATTGCTATAGTTAACCTATTCAGAGTATACTGTGTTTTTAGTTTCCATATCCTTTGATATGGGTTTTTTGAAGAACATATGTTACTGATAAATACTATACAATGGATGGGAGCCACCAAATAAAAGATTACATGTTTATGCGTGCTTCTGGTTTGGTGGAGGGTTAATTTTTTACAGCAAGAAAGCTTATCTCATCCTATTACAGCAACATCATGATTTAGAATCTTCCAATTGAGAAACACAGTTTTCATGTCTATTCATCAAGTATCTTTTAAAAAGACTTTCACTGAACTCTCAAATTGTTTTATGATAAGATTTTTGGTTATGGGAATATTCACAGAATTTATACTTTCAAGATTATAATTGTGTAACTTGCATATTTTGGATCCAAGCCAATAAAGTTTCAATTTTAGCTTTTCCTCAGAAGCTGTGTAACCTTGGAAAAACTGTCAGTCTCTGTGTACCACTTTTGCTCATCTATAATGAAGTGCTTGACTTATAGAGCCACTGTTCCAGTGAAATGTTATCAGGCTTGTATGTCAAAAGTTTCTATTATCTTAATCTTTTACATTTCAGGAAGGTCATACTTAGGTTTTCTACTACCACGAGAGACCACTATAACTAAAATAACTTGGGGAAGAAAGGATTTTTTTAGCTTTACAATTTAGGTCCTGTTTTGTCACCAGAGAAGTTAGGCAAGAACTGACTGCTCTGGAAGGATACTGCTTACTGGCTTCTCCTCATGGCTTTCTCAGTTTGTTTTCTCATAGTCTACATGAAAACTTTTCCAGAGATGGCATCATCTACTGTGGAATAGGCCCTCCCACAGAAAAAAAAAATATACAAAAATGCCCCCATGGATTTGGACAGGCCAATCTGATGGAGGCAATTCCTTAACAGATGTGTGCCCTCTCACCAGATGATTCCAGTTTTTGTCAAATTGGCAAAACAACTGACCAGAACAAGAAATGTGATCACTTTTCACTTATATTTTCTTGTTATTTATTTTGTGATTTGATTTTGGTTCAATCAAACTATTTAGTTCTAATATATCTAACAGAATTTCCTAGGTGTATGGCCACATATTTGCGTATCAGGGTTATAGAAAAAGGTGGAAATTTGTCCTTTTTGTTTCTTTAACTTATACATATTTAGCTGTCTTGATTCTACATTTTCTGCCTGTTTCAATTTTCTACACATTCATGACTCCAACTTGGAATTTATGTTTTCTAAGGCTATGATACATTTTGTCATGGTTTTCATGTGTCTTGCTGTAACATTGTACACTATATTCTCATTAAATCTTTTTGTCTTTAATGGGGCTACAGTT